AATGTTTCATTTTACCAGTGAAATAAGATGGTCTAATAATGCTGTCAATTACAATTGTCAAGAATATGTCTGAAACATAATAATTCATCTTCAGAATTATGAATATTTATTCTGATGTCATCACTTTACTCTGAATTAACAACCAGGACATTTTTAAAGTCTTTTGAAGTCTATACAAAGTTTAGCATTTTAACCAGCAGTAGACCTACACATAGGTGTAATATTATTAGTGTTGTTTTACCATGTGTTTAAGAATAACAATAATAATTGCCTACTCATATTTACCTTTATTTTGCATATACAGAATCGTGAGAACATGGTGAAAAAAAATTGTGATTCTCATTTTAGCCAGAATTGTGCAGCCCTAGCATGTATTTGCTTTAAAACCAAAAAGGCATTCACAAGCATACACTGGAAAATATGTGTCGGGTTCTACACAATACCTTCAAGTAGTCCCAACACAAATCAATTAGGTTAACTTGTTAGTGTTTACAAATTTAAGTGGATTGAACATAAAACAATTAGGTTGTACCTCAAAATTTAAAAAAAAATGTTGTTTCAGTTCATTTTAAATGAGTAGTTTGAACAGGCAGCAAACATCTTTTTTAGCATATAATAATTGATCTGACCTCAGACGCTTTACTATATCTTTCTAAAAGAAACATAACAGGATGCAATTCTGATGCACAACTTATTGTTCCACTATCATTTCTGTGGCTAAATTACTATCTAAACTACAATCACTGTTGTATTCTAGTACTGAGATTAGGGCTGCACAATCTATAGTTTCAGCATCGATATCGCAACATGTACATCCACATAAGTCACATCAATGGAGTTTATATGTTGGGATTATAGTTTACCAGGAGCCACAGTTCAGAACACAGAAGACTTTTGAAGTGACTGAAGAGTTTAACCATAAAGCAGTGAAAGTTAACCACTTGCAGGTGTTTTTAAGGCCCGTGACTGTGTAAGCATTAAGGCATGAGAGTTTAAAGTATTCAGGCACTTGAAATTGTTTATACTGTTTGCAACTATTTATTGAATCATTTATACAATAAAGACTATACAGTGCTATTTTACAGTTGATTATTCAAATTCTGTACCTGAATTCTGTGGTAAAATATTTCACTCCTATCTTGCCAATAATAATCCAAAGTAAACCCAGAACAATCAGTCTACATTAAACAATTCTTTCCAAATATAGCTATTCAAGCTATCTGGTGAAGTTGTTTTTATATCGCAATATAAATTGCAGCAAAATGAAATATCGCAATGTTAAATTTTTCCAATCTCGTGCAACCCTAATTGAGACATACCGTAGTATCTCACAATTTTGCTATCCCTCTGCTATATAAATCTCAATTGACAAACTTCCTCCTTTACCAACGTGGAAGTCTGCTAAAAAGTTGTCTCTCTCATGTAAACCTGATTTTTTTCATTCAAAAACAACCACAACAAGGAATGAAACAGTTGCCATTTGCTTAGTTTAAATATCTATACTGAACAGATTAGGGGTGGCAGAATGGCTCAGTGGTTAGCATCGTCACCTCACAGCAAGAAGGTCGCTGGTTCAAGTCTCAGCAGGGCCAGTTGGCATTTCTGTGGGGAGTTTGTATGATCTCCCCGTGTTCATGTGGGTTTCCTCTGGGTGCTCCGGTTTCCCCCACAGTCCAAAGACATGCTCTATAGATGAATTGAATGAACTAAATTGGCCATAGTGTGTGTGTGTGTGTGTGTGTGTGTGTGTGTGTGTGTGTGTGTGTGTGTGTGTGTGTGTGTGTGTGTGTGAATGTGAGTGTGTATGGGTGTTTCCTAGTACTGGGTTGTGGCTGGAAGGGAATCAATCCGCTGCATCAAAACATGTGGCGGAATAGTTAGTGGTTTATTCCTCTGTGGCGAAGTCTGAAAAAGAGACTAAGCCAATGAATGAATGAATGAATGGGTTAGTTGTTGCAGACCATTCTGAAATTTAATTGGTCCAAAATTAAAGCCACATTAAAGTCTATCTGACTGTAATTGTGCCGCATCTCACAGGTCCTTTTCATGCTTTCTTTTTACATAGTATGCAAAAAAAAAGTGAAAAAGACTACAATCGTATATACAAAGTAAAACTATTCTTAAAACTTAAAACTTTTTGCATACTGTTTTGCTTTTGTTGAAGTTCTAAAATACACAGTGTATTCTAGGAGACATGTTTTCAGAAAGAACTAATGATTGTAGCTCAAATGACAATGGCAATACATTTCACACTGACATATATACTGTTTACTTTTTGTTTTTGTTGTTAAAGTAGTTTTTAGAGAGAATCTGGTCACAAATGCAAGATCACTATGAGTTATATTTCGCAACTACCATATTGCATTTGTAATTGCATTGTAACATATCAAGTTGTCACAACAATTTCAATAAAAAGCGTATTATTTTGGTCTTCATCGACAACAACTTAAAGAAACCCCAAAAATAACATAAAAAGCAAAAGTAGAGCAAAACAGATAACACTCCGAGTTCATTTACACATCATAAAGGTCATCTAAGCCTGGAGGAAATCCTCACTGTAACTAAAATAGATGTTCTTCCTTCTGCTATAAAAAAAGATAAGACACCTCAGCCTGCTAGCATATCCTGGGGAGCATTTCAAGGTATTTCAAAAGTATACTGCGCTGAAATGATCAAAACCCATCTAGCGCTCTCCATTCTGGCCATTCAGACAGTTGCGTCTTCGGTCAGAATATGTCTGCGTTACATGAGAACGAGAGCACCATGACAAGCGGAAGGTCATGTTCAGCCCAAGGGAGAGGCCCGTCCATTTACTCATGCAGATCAATATGATTAACTGGGAGGAAGCAGCCTCCCCCTTCTGCCAGCTTCTGTTTAAGAAAGGCAGCGTGGCAGGAATTTATACCCCGCTGCTCAACTGTGCCAGTTTTCCCCCGGGCGAAGGAGGGAAACAATGATACAGAAAGGCGGCAAACTGTTCATGTTAATTTTCTCTTGGCACACAACTCAACAGAGATTCTCAAACATGGGGATGTGGAAGAGTCAAACAAGCGGTATTAGTGGAACTGAGCTTCTAGCTATACGCCTATACATTGAAACATGCTCGAAATGTGGCTTATCTTCCATGTCAGGTGCTTCCGTGTTTGGCAATGTTGTTAAAAATATGATCGCTGCAATAATTCAAAGCACACTTGAGGTTACTAAAATCCCTGTGAGAAAGTCTAAGCGTCTTTTTATTTGAAGTAGCCTCTTAATGACCACAAATACACATTAAGTGCATCAAAGCATTTTCTCTATTATGATGTTCAATGTTCTTGTTGAAACTAATGGCTCCCACTGAGAACTGACCTTTTAGAAAGGATGTCTAGAGGTTTCCGGAAGGTTCCAGCAGTGTGTGTGGCAGGCGGAGATTAGTGGTCTCACTGTAACTACCATCCGGTACAATTCTTGCAGGAAAGTTTTGAACAGAATGCAATTCATAATGCATAACTGGTTTCAGCACCATGGACAGCACACAAACCCTTCATAACAAAACATGGGTGGTTTAAAAGATAGCTATTACTTCCTATCAATCATAATTGCAGTACTATCATAGTTAGAATGTAAAGGGTCAGACAAAGTCAGCTCGTCGTTTGAATGACAAATGCACTAGAGGAACCAGCAAAGAAATGCTTCCACACTGAAATTTTTAACTTGTAACCATGCAGCTAGGAGGAATTGCGGATTCAAAAGTGACAAGCCACATGTGATTTAACTATAGCTAGTCCATACAAAAGAATCAATATCATTAACATTTGCACAGGCCTTCCTAGCTACCACATGTCAATAAAAGTGAGCATTTATCACTCTGGTGCTTCAAGGGACACTTTAAACTGCTTGTCTTGCATTAATAATCAATCAAGGCAAAGAAGTGCACTCTATTCCCTCTAGTCAATAGACTGGCCAGAATCTGGCGAACTAAACATGGTTATGACTTGGGTAAAAGTGCAGAAGTAAAATTTTGCTTCAAAAAGGAAAAGTGCAAACTCTATTTAAATTAAGACCTAAAAGTGACTTTAGTTGATATTTTATAATTGCATTTCAATTTAAATCTAAAGCAGCGTATCAGTGTCCTAAAAGGAACTCTAAAATCAACTATTTTTTTTCAATGAAGTCACACCATTTAGCTTTTAGTATATTGAGGTGGATTTTTGACTGCAATCCTTTCTTTTTATACAAAGTTACTTTTATAACTAAAAAAATTTAACAATTTAATTACTCCTAACTTAGAAAATGTTAAGTTTAATATACATATCGGTCATTTTAATAACTGTTTTTACTACTGTAAATAGTAGGACATTATGCTTTATGTATTCAATTAAAAAAGGTATTGGTTGTCCACTAAAATGAACACATATTTAATAGCTTAATGAATATTTAAAGGGGGGTCCAGAGTGCATTTTTAAGGCTTGGTTGTTTTTATAAGATGGAGAGCAATGTGTGCTCATGCTTCCTTCGGAAAAATCACCTTATTTTTTTCATAAATCTTACTTTGATTATATACAGCTACTCAGTTAACATAAAAACGACTGTCATACTTTCTAGTTCCTCCAAAAGGCTCACCCTCAAGAGGCTCAGATTGGTCAGCTAACAACATAATGTGCTGTGATTTGTGGATCGGCTCCAAGTCAGCAGGAAGCGTCTTTGCTATAACATTACAGTGCGTCTGGCCACACTTAGGATGTACGCTCGTAACCTGAAGGGTTTATGGCATTATTAACCCGGATGTATTTTTTTGTAGTCCCCAAACTTCGTTGGCTGTAGGCTTTGCTAAGCTAACTCAATAAAAGCCAAAGCGCATACATTCAGAGATGTTGTTTATGTTCACACAGCTACATTACACATCAACTAAAGTTTAAAATGTGATATTGTAGTGGACCACCTCTTTAATCTCACTTTCCTGGCACATAATATTTACAAAATTGAACTGTATTTTCTTAAAATGCAGAAAATAGGCCTACCTTTACTGCATCCGCGTGCGTGACCCGGTCAAACACTTTGTCGTTAACTTTCATTATTTGGTCTCCCATTCTCAAACCCTCCTTTTCAGCCAGTGATCCAGGTTCCACCAGTGAAACATAGATTCCAACTCCATGCTCTGATCCTCCGCGGATGCTAAATCCCAAACCTTCATTGCTCTTGTGACGCTTGAGGATCACCTGTCGGATCTCTCCAGGGGGCTCCGGTAAGAAATTCCTCCCCAGTAAAGGAATAAGAGTCGCTGTCCCGTCGCTGCTGGTGCTGATGCTGTCAGGAGACCCGCGTAGAGCGACTTGAGACGCCGGGAAATTAGCCCCATGTGTTGGACTCGAGTTAGCACCCTCCTGGGCACCGTCCGGGTCTCCGTTGCGCGCATGGATTTCGGATTTCAAGTATAGCCCCTCGGATGTGTACTGATCAAACAGAAGCTGATCCGAGCGCGGGATGACCAGCCGCAGCATGGGCAGGAGCTGACGCTTGCTCGGGACGTTCAGTATGACTTTAAGCGTCTGGACCAGGTCGTAGACATTGCGCTTGGAGTGGTACACGTTGAGACAGTGGATGAACTGCTCTCTCTCGAGGTCGCTGAGCAGCAGGTTGAGCGCGTTGTGAAGCTTTTTGACGTTGGCGGAAAGGGAACGCGCGCTGGAAGCCACGGAGTTCCCCGAGGAAGAGTTCAGCGACAGGCGCTCCAGGTCTGTGCTCATCCTCGCGCCCTTTGCCTGGATCACAGAGCCAGTACGCGGAAGTGGAGGGGCCCGGCGAGCATTGCAGTACCACCGGGACCGAGTCTACAGGAGTCTGCGGAGCGCCGCATGGCACTGCGATGCCTCGATGCTCGCTGTCATGCTTAATCTCACGCCAAACGGGTCACAGAGGACCTGTAATGCCTAAAGAAAGAAACATGCATTAAATTACGCCAGAAAACAAAAGTAAAAAATAACCACTTTTCAGGCAAATGTTAAGTCAAATTTGTATCATTAAAAAGTAATGTTCATTGCGATGTCAAATATAATCTTAATAGTTTTTTAAAACATTGAAAATGATAGTAAAACGATGAGTGGATATAAACTATGCACATTTAAAATGTAATTATAAAATACTCTTTAATATTTTATTAGGTAATTTAGACTACCTTTTCAGTTTTCAGTTGTGTCAATTTGAGCACTTTATATTGCGTTTTATGTTGTTTATTTAATTTACTTAACACATTATTTTTTTCATGCCACTGTAATTAATGACTAACATAAGTTGATGATATAATGGGGAAAATCAAGTTAAATCAACATGTGGGATCAATTAGTGTAAAGTTATTTTTTATTTAGTAAAATATATAGTTACAAATCGACTGAATAACACAAGATCAATTGAAATATAGGCACTGTATACTTTAATGGTATGCACGATTATAAATGCAAGCCTGTATATGACATAATCATATAACCGAACTTCATATTTATATAGGTCTATATGGAAATAACAAACTACAGATTACAATAAAAACCAACAGAACCAGAAGTTTAACGTAGGATAGATAAAAAGTCATATTTTAGACAGAAAAGTGCACCTTCCCAATAACGGCGTCAGAAAGCGGCGCGCTCCGGTGCGTCTCGTGCTCACGAAAAAAGGGTCAAGTGGCCAGCGCGTCTTCTCCAATGTCTCTGCCGTCAACAGTGAATCCCTTATGAGGCACTTCAGGATTTCTGCCCAGAAATCCAAAGCTTTACAACCACCATAATCACACGGACGCGTTCCCGCTGATTAGTTTTTTAAAGTAGAGCACCGGTTACGCATTCAGTAATCCACTCGTCCAGTATTTGTAACATATGACACCCAAACTAAAATGCAAAGTTGCTTCCATCTGGCACGCTCAAATCAGAAAGTTGAAACGGGCTTTAGTCTCTTGGAAAGTGCGCTGGATGTATTCCACAGACAGAAATCAAACAGGTTGTAAAGTTATTCGTCGCGTCGGTGCGTAAAGGAACAAAGTAAAGCACCACGGAGCTCGCGTATGTCGTGTAGCCTTCAGCTGTCGGAGGGGATCGACTGAACTGGCTCTCCAACGCGTCCCTTCACAGGAAATGACGCAGCTCGTGTGGCGCGCGTAAGTTGCTTAGTAACCAACAACACAGGACGGGCGCGCGCAGGACTTGCACATATCCACCTGCTTATTATTGTAGGAGCAGTGTGGATTTGAATGAATCTTCATAACTGTGGCACTATAAATAAAGAGAAGAAGGTTTCATGGAAAATCTGCCACCGAGCTTACGCAGTTAAGTCACGTGTGACTTGACCGTTTAAGAAAGGACATTAAAAATGAGGAGTCTTGTTAACTTTGGAGAAAGAACATTGGAGATGCATGTGATTAGATAGAATTAAAAATGCCAATATTTAAACTTTTTAAACCTGGAAACAATATCCAAAAGTAAAAACCTGAAAACAAAGATAAATGTACAGTATTTAGGCAAATTTTGTATGTAAATGCATGCCTTTAGCCAGCCTGGTGAAAGGGGTGGTTCTTTTTTGTTGTTGCAGTTTTTCACTTTATTTTATATTTAATTATGATGTTTAAATACTCCATGGTCACACTGTTTTGATGGTCCGTTTGTTGAATTTAAGCTACATTGCATCTACATGTCAACTAATTCTCATTAGATTATAAGTAGACTATTAGGTTAGGGTTAGTTTAAGTTGAATTGTACTTGTAAAGTTTCTTATAGTCAGTTTAATGTCTGTTATAGGAGCAGTACAACACAATCTCACGGCAATTCGTAACTTTTTAATTAGTGACATTTTAATCACTAAATTAGTTTGTCAGATGGTCATCAAAATCACTATTTTTAAATACCAAACATATTTCCTAAAGATTTAGCATTTAAAAACATAAAAAAACAATTTTTAAAATACAAATTCATTACATCTTATATAAATAATAATTAAAAAAGTAGCCTATTGTCATTTATTAAGAAAATAACAAACGACAGCACATTCAACTTTCCTTTTGGCCATTTGAATAAAAACAATTAAAACATAATAATAATAATAATAATAATAATAATAATAGGGCATCACCGTGGCACAGAGGGTAGCACGATTGCCTCACAGCAATAAGGTCGCTGTTTCGAGCTTCGGCTGGGTCAGTTGGCATTTCTGTGTTGAGTTTGCATGTTCTCTCTGTGTTCCTGTGGGTTTTCTCTGGGTGCTCGCAGTTTCCCCTACAGTCCAAAACATGCGCTATAGCTGGCCAGCACATTCAACTTTCCTCAGTCAGATTTTGGTCATTTGAATAAAAAAAACAATTAAAACATAATAATAATGATGTAAAGCTTTACCTTTTCTAGCATGTCTTGTAAAAATGTACAATTGAAAATGTATGAATAATACAAAAGCCTAATTAGTATAAAACTTACCTTTAATATAAATAAAGTCAATATTTAGAATAAAAGTTCCTTGTAAAAGGTTTTCTGAATTTAACAACAAGGTCAGTAGTGAAAGATGACTTGACTTACATCACATTCTATGTGGTCTTAAAGCCCTCAATAAGTTATTTCCACAATTTATGATACCATAGCTACAAGCGTAATAAAAAAAAATATTGAAAAATTTTATTATTTTTGTCGCTTCATTCAATAATTCATTTACTTTTCGGCTTAGTCCCTTTATTAATCTGGAATCGCCACAGCAAAATGAATCGCCAACTTATCCAGCATATGTTTTACACTGCACATGCCCTTCCAGCTGCAACCCATCACTGGGAAACACCTATACAATCTCATTCACAAAAATACACAACGACTAATTTCACTTACCCAATTCACCTATACCACATGTCTTTGGACTTGTGGAGGAAGCCAAAGCACCCGGAGGAAACCCACGCTAACATGGGGAGAACATGCAAACTCCACACAGAACTGACGCAGCCGAGGCTTGAACCAGCGACCTTCTTGCTATGAGGCGATGTGCAACCAACTGCCCCACTGTGATGCCTTATTTATATAAGTTATATAAATATAAATGCCTTTATGCAAATGTTCTTCCTAAAAACAAAAGAATTTGCATTGATTATTTATTTGAAACTGGAATTAATCTATCGATTCAATCAAAAAACCAATCAAATTTTTGGCAAGAAATAAAAAGAAACCCTAAATCTTCAAGCAAATCAAGAAATCAGGCTAATACTCTAAAGTGTATGTGCCTTCACGGTTTTAGATGCATCCCTCAATCATGTTTTACCCCTCTATAAACATTTACAGCTCTGACCATATTAGTACGATTCACATTACGGGAGTACATGATGCAGAGCCTTTAAATCAAACCCCTTTACAGCATTTCAGAACTGATCCCATAAAGCAGAACGCTGAAATCCTGCCACAAATCTGAGTCAGCATTCACACATCCAAAAAAAAAAAAAAAAAAAAGAAAAACGAATGGGTTTTTGCCAGCGCTGTGTGGCACAGGTGTCGATGTTGACGCACATCAATGGAGGACAGCTGGATATTCCCAGAACAGTGTGCTTTAGCCACACCACTTCTAAAGAAACCCGCTAAGCATTTATATTCACATTAAATCATTTGCCAGATGCTTTTATCCAAAGCGACTGACTAATTAAAGCAATAGAAGTAATCATAGTAACAACAACAGAACTAAATATGTAAAATATATGATCATTTCTAGACAGTCCATAATATATATAATGTATATACTACTGTAGTAAAAGGTAAAATAGAAAAAAAAAAGAAAAATTGTTGCAGATCAATGTCGTTTTTATATAAAGAAAACACAATAAACAATAAATAAGTATTAATATTCCTTTTTCTAAATAAAAATACAGAACATAATATAAATAAGGAAGTCAGTTTTTATGACAAAATTATTAGCTGTCTTTTTCAAATATTTTTAAAGTGACATTTAATGGAAAAAGACATTTTCGCAGTATACTCATATGAGATTTTTTCAATCCAGGCTCATTCTGAAAACATGCCTCTATATACATTTCTGGAGAGCACTAAATATGTCCCAGGAGCTATGTTTTTCTGCAGTTTTTGTTTTCGCAAATCCACCAGAGGCCGCTGGGTACGCTTTTTGGGATCTCAAATATCTTTTGTAAGTGCCAGTCACACCTGCTGCTCATGCGTAAATCCACCAGAGGTTGACTTACTGACTAACTGACTGACCCACTCTCCTCCTTTCCTAAACCCAACCAATGGAGTTATAAAAGCACAGACTGACCTGCCCACCCACTTCCCTAAACCCAACCAACAGTTTTAAAAACAATCCGGAAAAAGAAAAGCCCTTGCCTGATTTTTACCATGTTTTCAGATTTTACTACTTTTCCACTCTGTTATTTATTTACTTTTTTTTTTTTTGGTTTTTGTTTCTGTCTTACCTGCTTTCTGGATCTCAAACCCAATCATCGTGGTCAGCCCCTATCTGTGTCTCAGGTCCACCAACGTGAGCTGACGGGACAAACTGGTAACAGCGGGAAAGCCGTCCATATGGAGGTAAGCAGTCAGCTGCTAGCGCAAAAAGGAACAGCGTCATACCGCCCCATAGTGTTCGCTCTAAACACGAAATGCAGCCACACGTACTTCTGGCTAGAATAAAAGCAGATTCATTTTTAAAACTGTTTTAATATTATTAGTTTACAATATTACATTATTATTAGCCCCCTTAAGCAGTTATTATATTGATTGTTTACAGAAAAAAAACATTGTTATACAAAGACTTGTCTAATTAACCTAGCTAATTCCAAGTATCTAGTATCTTGAAAAACAAATAGTAAAATATTATGTATTTTCATCATTGCAATATGCATACCTGTCAACATTGGGATGTGAAAATAAGGGATATAATAAGGTTATTATGCCCACCATAACAGAGGCTATTTGTCGTTATGGAGTGCGCCAGCTGACAGTCATGCACCATTATATGACTGTTTTGAGGATTGAGGGGCGACGGCACCTGTAATAAAAAGGAATGGAATCCCGCAGTTTTTATTATTTTTTTTTTCAAAGTGTTTTCGTGCCTAAACAAAGCGAAAGCACAAAACAGACTCACATTTAAGAGCAAGGAGCAGCCCCAGGTGATTCGACGGTATGGGTTGCGTATAGGAAGGCTCGGCTCTTTAACGTTTTTTGCCACCCTTCAGAGAAATACTGAAAATACAGGAGAAATACGGGAAAATACCTTTACAAGATGATAGCGGTATAGAACTGTAAAATACGGGAGCATCCCAGGAAAAACAGCAGGGTTGACATGTATGAATATGGCAAATATATATATATATATATATATATATATATATATATATATAAATATTATATGTGTGTGTGTGTGTGTGTGTGTGTGTGTGTGTGTGTGTGTGTGTGTGTGTGTTTGACTGAGCTCAAAATAAACAAAGACTCAGCTAACAGCTCAGACAATCGAAGTTACAATATTTAAAGATAATTTTAAAGAAAATGTCAATATTATGTGAAAGCTTTGATTATTCCCTGTTGGTCAAATTCAGTAAACAGTACAAGGATTTTTATGGGTAGGAACAGAACAGATTATAAGAATAAAATGATGAAATTGTATGACAAAATAAGTGTTGAACATGAGCAGGTCATTTTACCACCAGGGAACAGTAAAAAAAGAAAAGAAAGGGATTTCGTGCATGTTCACCTGCAGAAGGCAAGCTGAGAGAAGATGAGTCTGAAGTAGTGAATTAAGATAAAGAAATGCAGAGTCAGTGGTTCATTTGCAGGCAAATGTCAGTGTCTTGAATCTGATGCAGGGAGTTATTGGAAGCCAGTTTAAATTGATGAAAAGCGCTGTGACGTGTGCTCTTTTTGGCTCATTAAAGTCCAGACTTGCTGCCACATTCTGGATCGATTGCAGAGGTTTGATGGGACTGGCTGCAGTAACTAAATGTTATACATATTAGACTACACACTAATTAAAACAATTAATCGATGATCGTTAAATGAAGGAACTGTTATTATGGGTCATCAAATTATTAGAAAATAATGTACTTATGTATGATGCTTTTAAATGTAAGGAATAAGTGGTGTAAATAGATTGTTTAATTGTTAGACAATAAGGCACTG